AACAAACCAAAAACACTGATAGGAATACATCTGCACTTTTGAAAAGAAAAACCACCAGCTATAGCTTATTTTTAAAATGGCCTGAGCTTTTTCAGCTTATTATATATGGTGGTCTTGTAGGTAAAAACCAAACAAGGTCTGCAGGGCAAAATAAAGTTAGCTAGTAAGTTTGCTCAGGCTAAAAAAAAAGCTAATACTTAGACCAAAGCAATCAACAAAACATGTGCTGAATGTGTTCTGCCAGAGACAAGCACAACTGGAATTCCTTCCACAACTGGTTGACATTGACTAAAAAGTAGCAAGAATTAAACCACTACCCATTTAATGATTTAAAATCCGGATTTGGATGCCACTGGGAAAAGCCTGCCTTGGAATAGTAGTAGTATATCATCATGCATCTATGTCTGGCTAACAGTAGACTTTCACTGCCTTCTCTGAACGCTGTCGTCCCCATACTCTATATTCAAAGGTCATTCAAGAATTTATCTTACTACAGGAGTAAAGGTTTTTGCTTTTATTGATCTGACCTCAGAATGAATTATGGTGGAGGAGTGAGCTTGTCAATGTAAAGTTACTCTGGAAAGAAATGAGGTGACCTAACACGGTCAGGAGGGGGGAAAAAAAAAAAAAGCCTTTCATGTATTACAAACACTTAGTCTAGTTCACAGATGACTGCCTAATATAATTGATCACGAAGACTGGCATCACTAAAACAGAAGCAGTCAGGCTTTAAGAGTAGAATAGTACTGTAACAGAAGACCCATTCTTACTTTCAGGTACCAGCCAAAGAAGTGAGCAGGAACAAATCCATCCAGTTTGTCCTACAAACCAAGAAGAGAGTGTAGGTCACTTTGCACTACAAACAATAACCCATTAAGGCTTATTTTTTCCCCAATGCAGCAATAAACTTCAGTTGTTTCACATATAAATACTAGATGCATTTTATGAGCTTCTTTGTTCTCAAGTACAGTGAACAAACAAACAATTTTCAAAGCAAAGTCACAATTTTAAGGGGCAGAAACTGGAATTAGGATCGTATTGATAAAGCGGAGACTATCTTTTTAATGCTAAATGTCATGTTCCTTGCCTTCCAGGGGGACAGAAGCAGAAGACGTTCAAGCCAGGGCAAGAACATGCATTTCTTTATCAGACCCCCACCTTGTATCTAGCAGAGCTTCTTAAATCTTATCAGTCCTGCCACCATAAATCCCTGGGCAAAGAGTGCCCTTCCTCCTCCCAGTTTTGGTGCAAAACTAGAGCAGGACAGCTGTAATTGCTCTGTTACTCGGTTCCTGATGCACTGAAGACTTACACGGTAGACCCAAAGGATTCAGTGCTCCTTACAACACAAGCACTAGCAGCTCTATGCAATCAGGGAGTTGTAAATAATCAGGATTCCTTTGCCCTTAACCTGCCAGTTTCCGGTATTCAGAAAAGTGCAATTTATGGGTTGCTTGGCAACATGCAACTTTTGAACTTTGTGCCTCAAGGTGACTGCAAGTAGAAGATTCTTTAAGCACACAAACCCAAACTCCTGAGGGAAAAGGTTTACATCAATAATCTGAGAAACAAGGATTGTTAAACAGCTTTCTCTCTCCCCTGGGCAGTGTAATTAGGATACAAAGAGACACACCTCCACCCGATCGACAGGAAAGGTCAAGAGAAGAGAAATAAGAAAGCTAAAGAGTCAGTCATGACCTGTTCGCTCATTCAACGCTCAGAAAGACTCATGACTGCACGTTGAAGAGTGCCATTAAGCAAACTTTTACCAACAAACAGACTCATTAGCAAGTAACTTCATTTGCTCCTTACCCAGATGTTGTGAAATGGATCAGTTTCATTGCCAGGATCATAAATAAGGCAGTTTCCACCATAGTCTCTTTCCGGCAAAGGAACACCTAAATGTGGATCAATGTACTTCATGAACTGCCTGCCATCCTGTACCGTCTGCAAAAGGAACACAAGCCCCACGTTTCCCTCTTATTAAGTATTAATACACAGAAAAGTACAAAGATAATGAAAATCAACATTGTATCCTCAAATGGGTGGGTTTTTTTCCAAATGTGTTGCAGAACAAATCTTGAAATATATCCAAGACCTCAAAGCAGCACACAGCATACGTACCTGACTTTCTGGGCCTCCTGTGCTAAATATTAAGGGAAAAAAAATGACTACAGAATGAAGTGAAGGTGAAAAATCAGAGATCTTTAACTGCATTTCCTAAGCCACTCCTCCACGCCCCTCCTCGAGCCCAGCACTCGAACTGGCACACAACTCATCCTTCCCACCGACCCTGCTGCCCCTCCTCTCCCCTCCTTGGGCTTGGTGAAGAGGAAGCAGCCCGTAACTCAGGAGAGGCTCGTTCAATGACTGCAGCTCCTGCGCGAGTGACCTCTTGGTTTCCTCGAACGCAAGGATCCAGCGGCACCTCAAACGTGCAGCTCGAAAGACAGCACACGCAGACACCAGCGGACTGAGCACGCCGATTACGCGCGCCGTCAGCAGGCTCAGTCGCCCACGCGTGCTCAGCTCTCTTCAGCTACAGAAAGGGAACTGCACCGCGTTTCATGGCAGGAAGAAATCAGTGCAGCTCGTTGGACAGTCGTTTCAAATGAGGTCCCATTAGCAGCACAGGTAATAAACTTGAAGCAAACAGCAAGGAAGAAATTACCAAAATATTAGCTAGAAACAGTGAGCAAAACTTCAACTAATTTACTATTAACTCACACATTTGCCAAGTAAGTACTTCCCAATGAAGCTGCTCACTGTTGTGGTCAGTGTTTTACAACAGAAGCAACGTAACATCTCCGACGGACTAGCAGACAGCAAAAGCAGGGCAAGGCCAAAATTAGTTAATAGCAATAATAATAATAAAATTATAGAATAAAACCACTAAAGTCACATTAAGACAAGTTTCAACTGTGAGCGAGCTTGTATTTGCTTTTAAGGAAGTTTAGTCACCTACAGATTCAGCATAATTTTAACGTTATTTAAACCTGTGCAAAGTAATAATGTATTTTTAGTAAAGAGCTGAGCAACACTAGTGAGTGTCCTTAACAACCAAATGGCTGGTAACAACATACCGCCAGAGGAAAGCAAAGCAACTCCAGGCTTTTCTATTAGAATTCAGAACTATGACAGTACTATCAAATAAAAATTAAACATATTATTCAGTCTGACTGCAGCTAGTCAGGAGTATCATTTCCAAGGATGCCTGGAGAAAAACCAGGGTGACATGGAACAGTAAGAACATAAGAATCAATTGGAACTGGGTAAGTATTCCTCAGCGGTGAGGAATAACAACAAAAAAAGACAGACCTGTTCCTGGCTGTGGAAGGGTCAGAACTCCACTCCCTCCAAGCAGGACAGGCAGCCTGCGAGAAACCCTACCGAGACATCAGGGCCCTGCGGAAGGGTTTACACGGAACCCCCAAGTTATGTCAACGGGGCAGCTGTTTACTGATCTACTGCGGACACATTCCAGCTGCCCACTGAAACCAGCCAGGCAAACAAACAAACAAAAAACCCCCAAAACAAAACCCCAAAAGGACAGTTTTGTGTTAAGAAACTTGGCACTGGCCTTTGGGGAGGCTGCAGGAAAGCCAAGCAGAACAAGAAATGCTGGAGTCAAAGGAAATCTTTGATTAGCTGCAAAGGGTTTGATCAATATTAAAAACTTGTGTGCAAAGCAAATGCCCTACTCCAACAGAAGACGGATGACAGATCCCGACACCTCTGAATTCCAGCCCAACTTCTTCAAGTTCACTTGGTCTCTAGAAGCAAAACTTTTAAAAAAAAAAAAGTTCCTCATCCTTTCATCTAAAATGATTTTTTAAAGCTACCCGATGAGTATGTGATGGTACTTGCACAACCCTTTTAAAATACGGAGCGCCAAACGTTACTAAGACGTCAGCAAGAAGGACCTGTCTGAAAACGAACCACTGGGGACCCTAATCGGAACCCGAATCTGAGAAGTAGCCAGTGTCCGACAGAACAGGCCAGTCACCTCTCCTGGCTTAATATCGCAACATTTGCTTGTGGTTTCAGATCACACGGCTGCCCGAGATGACTGCGATCACTGGACTGCGTAACTGAGGAAAGGTGGTGAGTCTCCTTCAAAGTCTCAGGCTCTTTCTTGGCACTCAGACTTGATCTGCAGTGATGTAAGTAGACATATAGGAACACAATGGCTTTGTCAATAGCGTCAGGTTTACTCTTCCTGCTTATCTCAAAATACTTTACCTCAACTGCTGCATTTCTGAGAAGTCACAGAATTGTAAAAGCCAGGGGAAAATGCTCAGTTTACTGAAGGACGAGAATACATTAAAAAAGAACGTGCTTTATTTGGAAGTACTGACGGCATGTCTTTCTAGAAAAAACATCATCCTCAGTTTGCTGCCACTACACAAAGTCGTGCATGACATTTCGGTTTATCGCAAAAAAAAAAAATGTTCAAAGCACTTATCATCCATGGTAGAAAGTATTTCAAAAGATTAAACGAGATGAATTCACTCCGCAATCTGTAGGATCTAAGAAACTAACGGCTGGTACACAAGTTCAGCAAGTCACATCAAGCCCAGCAGAGCAGAGGCTAAACATCAGCAGCACCAACTCCTGATCGTTTGAGCTAAGCAACAACTCTGGCTTCTTACCAACTCGTTTAAGAACGCTTCACTGCGCTGCGTAACCTGGGCTGAGACTAACTGGAGGTTAGACAACAAGGTGAAATGTTTTTGTAATATTACAATTTTTCCTCAACCTAGAAGTCTTATTAAATAGCGCAGTGATTTGATTTCACAAAAATGAAGAGCATCTCCTGTAGTCAACGAGAATCCTGAAGAACACCACAAAGGATTTTATATCCACATTAAACTGGCATTTAGTAACTAGAGGTCTAAGTTACTTACCTGAAAGAGTATAAAGATGAGGAAGAGCTCATACACAACGCTGACACACAGCCAAAACCGCCAGTAAGCTACAGAAACAGACAAGTGGGATGTTAGCAAGCTTTCAAGCACAACAGCAGTCAATTATTCATTTACTGTAATGTAACTAAACATTTCAAGAAGGGATGCTCCCACCAAGAAATTATAAAGCCCAGTATTCAAGTAACATGTTCACCATCCTTCCTAAAGAGTACAACCAGAAAGGCTCTTTAACTGCCAGACAGGCTGCTGTGTAGACTTGCCGGAATTGCTCAGGCCATAACCTGGGTCTGTGAGAACGGGCCAGGATCCCTAAGAACGCTGCAACCCAATGAACTAAATATTTAAGAATTAGAAGGAAAGATACACACCACTTGCAATGCTTTCTAGCAGTCCTTGGAAGAGAACTATATCCTTCCTGAACTGATCGCATTTCTTTCTCCACGATCTCGCGGAACCTGAGCTGTCCAACTTTGGTTTTCTCAGCCGTATCGCGGCTAACGCGCTTTGCCAACTTCTACCTATGTGCTGCTAAACCAGACAAGAATAAGCCCGGCAGGAGGAACCACTGCTTTCACCTTTGTAAGCCCATCTTCTTCCCTGAAGACAAGATTGTTTCCTCAAGGGGCAGAAAGGGTGGTCAAGAATTGGAAGAGGCTGCCCAGAGAGGTGGTGGAGTCCCCATCCCTGGAAGCGTTCAAAAAACGGGCAGAGGTGGCACTTGGGGACATGGTTTAGTCTAGTCTACCCTTGATTGGTTTAGTGTGGACTTGGTAGTGTAGGTTAATGGTTGGACTGGATGATCTTAAAGGGCTTTTCCAACCTAAACGATTCTAGGATTCTATGATTCAGAAAGCATTTCAAAATACCAAAGATATTTTGACTTTTTTAGGAATTAAATAAAAAAGGTACCAAAGGTTTAGCAGGTGCTAGATGCAAGACCTATGAGATCATCTGCAACTCTTCATAATGAGAGAAACATCATGCGAAACTCCACTGCTTCAGAGTCTGCAGTCATTCCTCACCCTCCAGCATGCCTGGTTACAGAGCTTCTCACGCTGAAGCAACACCTGAATCTAAAGGGCACACAAGTTAAAGTATTTGTACACTTCCAGTTCCATCACTGTCCCCTCAGTTCTTCTGAAAGACTCATTCCTCAGGTGGTAGGCTCTCTGACCACCCTGGGTACAAGCTTTGTGGTCCACGGCTTGCACTCGTGCTCCTCATTCACCCTACTCCACCCAGAGACTGGTTTGGCCTCTATTCCGTAAGGATTTCTGGACTCTGAAATCTCATCCAGCGCTTTTGTTAACTCCTACACCGGAGGAAGCAGGTTAATGCAGAGCCAGTATGTGCACAGACTGCTCCAGCATTTTTTCCTAACGACATCCAAAAACTCACACAAGGAATTCGGCAAAACTTGACTCGTTGCCAGCGGATATTTAAATCTCTCAGTAGCACCACGCACTAATCACTCTGGAATGATTTTAATAGACTTTCCTTCAGGTGTTTCCTGTTTACACTTACAAAAGAGAGCTCTCCATCCAGGGTTACATCTAGGTGATAGTTAGAATTGGGCTGGGGCAAAGAGGAATCAAGACAGTCGCTCCTACGGTTGAGGGGAGACAAGCTGTTCCACCTGCATGAACATGGTTTGCCATGAAATGAAAAACCCAAAAACCTTCAGGCCTGATTTGGGCATTTATCTCTATTAACTCCAAGGCAACTGAGGTATGTTAATGCTTAAAAGCAGGACCACGACATAAATAATGCAAGAACTAAACATAAACTCCAAGCTTGCAAACATACTTGTCAGCTCTAGAGCCTGAAATCAACTAGCCACGGTGTTGCAGAGCTTGTTTGCCCCCTGAAACAAAGATAAATGTCTTTGCCCAATCCAGCCTCAAGTAGAAAAAAAAATTTTTTAAAAAATCCACATTTTTAAAAGAAGTCTCTGACAGCCTGCTTCCAACACCATCATCAAAATAGACTGAAATGTGAGAAGGTGTGACCTGTTTTCAGCAAAAACATTAATTTCATCAAAATGGCCTACTTTACAGTTCCAGGGGAAAAAATAATTAAGCAGGTGTGGCCTGGATAACAGGAAGTTCAGAGCTCTGTAACTGCTTTCACCGGTAATTGGAACTTTTAAGATTTTTACTTAAAGTCTACAAACATAATTTCTTAATTATGCAATACAATGAAGCGTCTTCTTAGGGGTCAGTCATTAAAACCCCCAAACAAACCTCTGAACACACGTTATCAGGCGGGTTTGCCCCTTGGTCTCCTTGAGGGAAGGAGAAGCGGAGTTGCAATACCCAGTGCCTCTTGTGCGGCTCCTCACGCAAGAGTTGTAGAAACCATTACTTGAGACTGCCGTCCTTCCCTCAGATCTGATTAACTTCAAACCCACGGGCAAGCTTCACTCGGAAGGACCGACGAGAGCGTGCGTGCACCCTCTTGTCTTTCTAGAATGCAGCTTAGGAAAAAAAAACGAGCAGAAACATCCTCATCAATCAAAGGATTGTTCGGAAGAGAGGAACCTCTGCCCAAACCGGCACCTGTGCTGCTGAAAAATACTTCTGCCTTCTGAATGCCAGTCTGCAGGATAGAAATACAGTGGTGACTTTTTTAAGTGATTAAAAAAAAAATCGGTTTGTGTTTGATGAGGTGTTTTCTATCCTTTCCTATAATGACTGCATCCCTTGAAGAGCAAGCACTATGTTCGTGCCAGAAGAAAGAATTAACCTTCACTAACACTTCTCCCACAAGAACTGAGCATTGCTTCCTTCAAACATCACCTTCAGACTATAAGCCTTAAAAATACTGAGTCTTTTCTGACCTGTAAAGCCTTGTATGACAGATTTTACGCTACTCACAGACATAAATGTGGCAGACTAGTTCTGAAACTGATGCACATATAGTTCAGAAAGCAGAAAAATCTAAATCCTTATCTGAGCTTTTGCTCTCCTAGATACGCAGGGTTCTGGCAACAGATGATCTGCGGCTGCGGAATGTGCTCAGCAGTACTTCATAATAAAAAAATAAGATCTGGTTATAATTTAGCATGCTTTCTCCCCGGCTGCCATAAGTACCCAAGAGGTTTTGAAGACCACTTTACACCTGTACATGTACAGCAGAAACAGGATGGTTTCACAGCTGTACAAGCGTCGCGTTCTCTCTCTCCCTGGACTGGCCGCAGCCTTAGCTATAAAGTTATTTTTGTCATACCTCCAATATTTGTTTTCCTTAAATGTGTCGCGTTCTCTCTCTCCCTGGACTGGCCACAGCTTTAGCTATAGTTATTTTTGTCATACCTCCAATATTTGTTTTCCTTAAATGCACTTGTCACCATGACCCTCCCTCGAATTAGGACTATCTTCCTGATTAAGTAGGCTTCAGCTAATCATTTCCATACCTGATAATTTAGCGATTACTGTGCTCAAGCACTGAACCGTTGCCATTGCAGGGAGACTCGCGAGCACAAGTGAACACTGAGCAGGAGAGCACTGCCTGGCTGGGTGCACAGCCAGCCTTACCCCTGTTTATCAACAGAGGCTCGAGTTTAGCCTATGCCACCTGAAAGGGTGCATGAGTAAAGGAAAAAAAATTCAAAGTTATTTGCCCAGGCAAGGCATAGAGCTGCTGAGCGGGTGGAGGCTATGAAGCACTCATCAGAAGTTGCACCGGACTTGAGCAGGGAGAAGGGTCTGGTCTGAGCAGCCGCATGAGCCTGGGCCAGCGTATGCCTGCTCGGATTACTGCTCAGGGGTACGGCTTTTCCATAGCAAGCTCAAGTTCAAAAGCACCACCCGTGACCAGAGCTGCAATGCCTAGGAGGTGGGACATCCGAGAGAGTAATAGAGGCAGGCGAGCCCCGCGGACTAGTCCTAGCGCTGCGTGGGCAATTTTGTATTTCTAAATGCAATGCCTGAACACATTAAATGCTACGTTAAGACAGAAAAATAGGAGTTAAAAGCTCAGCTTGTCCAAACCCCTACAGTCATTTATTCCACCCAGTCAGTGAAAAAGCAGCCAGTTAGTACCACTATCCCAATAGCCCAATACAGCTGTGCAAAACCAGTGGCGATTCCTGAATTGTTAAAGGAGTTGTCAGAAAGGGGCAGATCACGTACTATTCCCTGGATGAAGTTCTAATGAAAGGATTTCTTCCTTGCAGCATTACAAGGCAGCCAGCTGCTCCATCCCGCTTCGCCAGCAGCCTGCTCTGCCCGTGCCGTCTCCCCAGGGACAGGGACAGAAGAGATCCCGCTCCTGCCTGCTCATTTCTAGCTACGCCAGCCCTCTAGCCCATGGCTTAGTTAAGAACTCGATACTTGCCAAACCGCTTGTGCCGTCAGGTGCGATGTATGAAGTCAAAGCAAGTGTTGGCAAAGGTTGGGAATATTAAAAGCTATTTCTTAGGGCATTAGTAACTGTCATGGAAAATTTCTTTAAAATGCCAACGTGGGCATGTTATCTTGACAAAGACAATAAAGCACCACTGAACTCTTGCAACACTGTTTGCATATTCAAGGCTCCATAAAAGGAGCTGACAGTAAGAATGAAGAGTATCTTTTATCTGCAAATACTAAAAAGCCAGCACACTGATGCTGACTTTATCCATGATTAATTTTATCATGAAATGCATTACACTCCCCAATTGTGGGTGCTCACCCACCAATAAAGGGACCCTCAAGCAGAGCTTAAGATTTGTCCCCTATAAAACATTGTTCCTTGGGGATAAGGCAGCGTTCCTCTTTTGCTGGAAGGTTTGGATGGAGGCCTTGAAGCCAGCGCTTTACAGGAAGGACATGGAAAATGGGATAAAAAGCAGGGTAAGTCTGTAAAGACGGCTTGCCTAAATAGTCATACATACTTATTTTCACGATAGCCCTACGTTTCTGAATTACAGTAAGGCAACTGGTATAGGTGCATCTGGCAAATTATTAGCTAACCCAGAGGAAGGGCGGGGGGAGAAATCAGTAGAAAAACAGTAAAGCTGGATGAGCCATTGGGGAAAGCTGACATTTCTGGTAATGCTGAAAGGAAGGCTAAAAAAAAAAATAAAATCACCAGTCTGGCTGGATACCGCTTACATGGTGGCTAAGATCAGTTTCATTAATGGCCTTAGTGGAGAGCAGGTTAATAACTCAAACAGCAGCAGGGAAGACAGGGACAGCAAAGAGAAAATCAGATGATCTCCAAGGGCTGGAGTAATAGAACAGCTCGTACAGTTTCACACTTCGGAACCACTAAGTTTTGAGGTTAGCTCACCAGCTGAAATAGAAGCATTCGGTTATTAGCTGCCAGGCACTGAGCTGCCACTGTAATACAGTCATGAAAAAAGCACATGCCATAAAGACAGCCATCAAGGTGCTGCCGGAGATACTGGGAAGCATTAACGCTATCACAAAAAACTTTAAGTGCTCTCACACCTGCAATATCCTACACGGTTCTGGACAGCCATTTTCAAAGAAGAAAACTCCAAACGCACAAAGATAAGAACTACCAAAACGTTAGGAGGAAAGCAGACTTATACTGAGGGGGGAGACTAAAAGCAAAACTTGTTGCTTTAGCAAAACCAATGGCAAATTGGTATACGCGAGTCGTGTATAAATAAATCAGGTGGATAAACACGGAGTAAGTAGAGCTATTTAAACAGAACAACATTAGCCACAAAACCCAAACCAAAATATCAAATGACTCTGAGCTGGTCATAAATAAGTACGCATATACTGAATGACAGGGCTCCAAAGCCACCCGGCAGAGGCAGGGCACGAAGCCTAGCTGCTTTTAAGATACAGCCTGAAGGGCTGCTGTAACAGATCTGATGTGGCTGCGTGTGATCGCAGCGACCCGACTGACCCAGACGCTTCCTTCTGCCCTATAAATGGAAGCAGCGCACACCAGCAGCCTGCGCTGCCCGCTCCTCGGGGATGAGGTCCTTCTCGCGGAGCAGCCCACAAAGCTAAGGTCAGAGACTCAACTGCCCGACGGCAACCGCCTAAGACACCCCTGTAACGGGAGAGCTGACACCGAGCTCACGGGGCTGCGATGCCGTGCCCTCCGCTGCCTGCAAGAGCCTTCCCGCAGAGCTGCGGAGGAAGACTGCCGTTCTCCGCCAGACAGGCACCCAGACGCCTTGCTGCGACCGTGCAAGTATTCGCTACCTTGGCAAACGCCTACAGCCCCTGAACACCGCCCTTCAGAAGATCATCCCATCAAACAAGCTAGAGGAAAGGCAGAGTTAATGACGACATGAATACGCTCAGTATTTGAAGTGGCTGAACACATGGGAGCTTCTTCAGTCACCCTGTTCATGGACGATTTGATTCTGCTGAAGGGTACGCAGCTTCAGCCCAGCAGCTGCTGTAGCCAAGACAGGAGCACGCAGAGGTGGCAGATGTTGGCTCAGTCTGCGCTAGAAGTTCGCTGTAGAGATCTCTGACCTCTGGACTTTCCCCATCCAATTTGTACTACTTCGTTCCAGGGAATAAAAACGACTTCGGTCTCAGACAAAACCACTGGATGTCCCAAAACTGAAAGCACTCAAGTATCACTGGTGGACTTAAAAGGAGTAAGTTGTCTTGTAGGAGGAACCAGAATTAACTGTAACAGGAAGGAAAGACTAAAACCTATTTTAGTGAGACCCCAGAAATGCAAACTTCTGAATAAAACCTTAAGTTTGCAGAGGTGTGCTGTGGGCATTGCTCTAGAACAATGTCTGCTTTACCGAGGTTTTTAACATGTCTGCTGTTTCTTATATAGAATGGCACTCCTAAATGGGAAGGTTAAATTTTTGGCATAAGAAATTCTTATAGCTTTATTTGACTGTAGGAGAGCCTACTGCTCTCAGGAATGTTATGTAAGCCTATATAAATTCCCTTAATTCTTTCTCAATGATTCACATTTAAGAATAGGCAAAAGATCAAAGATATTAAAGTATTTTCATACTTTACCTGATATAACACTACATGGAAGAGGTTTTGTGTTGTGCTTTCAAATGCTTTCAAGACTTAGAGTCTTACTAGAAATCTTTAAAATAATCTCATCTACCATCAATCTAAAATCAAGGGCTTCTAATCTACCAGTTATTGTGGATAACGGAGATACAGCAACGGGAGCATAATGCTCCAGCAACCAGATACGTCTTTCAAAGTGCACTCTCATTACAGAAAGGAGGGGGAAAAAAAAAAAACCAAAGGGATAAACAAGGGAAGTTAAGGTTTCAAGAATCTGGCAGTTCACACAAAGCCTTTTACTAACAACAGGAAACCAAAACAGGGAGATCCAAAAAAACAACAAAAAAATCCTATGCTACATGCAGATTTAAAGCACAAAAGGATCATTCTGCTGTTTGGAGGCTGGGTGGAAGCTGGAAGGCTACCTGATAAGTGTGCAGTGTTAATGAACCTGTATTATTATTTAAATTACCACTTACCTTCTCTACAGGTACCACAAATATTTGCGTTCACCACAAACCATGCAAATGATCAGAAACAGAATTACTTCAGCAACTTAAATTACCTGGATGAGGTCTTGAAAATGGTCCATCTTTAGCTTGTGTAACTCCAAAACATAAGAAAACCAAAATACTGGCAACAATACCTCTGAAAGTGAAAAACAGAACAAACTGTTTATATGGCATCATCTTCCTAATGAAACTGTGACTTATACTCTTTGATGTAACAAATGTCTGCCCTGTTTCTTAACTACTAAACATGTCAATCCTAAGTAGGTGCCTTTTGGAGATTATATTTCAGGGAAATGGGCATAAATTCCTATACTTTTAAGTGCAGTTTCATGACAGACTGTCTCAAACCCCAACGTTGACCCATTCATCCTCCTCCCCACTAACTGCACGCTTCCATTCCTTCCGTTTTGCTGCCATTTACTGCACCCAGCCAGCCAGGCGCGGAGCCTGATCTGGCCGAGAATTCACCCAGCAAAACCAAAACAGTTCCTTGATCCACACGATGAGCCTTAGCCTGCAGATGATCATGAGATGCACAATGTCAAACACCTCCTTAAGCCTTTGAGAAGCTTTTATACCCACTTTGTGAGAAAGACACTTAAAATTTAGCAGCGAGAAAGCTCTCAAGTTAGAGAGCTGCTCGTTGCTCCAGTAAAATTTCAATGAAATTTAAAACTCAACTGTTGAACTTGTCACCACTCCAAAACCTTTTCTTCAACAGCTAAAGACAAGGAGGAGCTTGTAAGGCCAAACCAGCACTGGTGCTATTTCAAAAGCTGGAACTATAACATAGAGCCTAACAGGACATAACATTCTTCTCCCAAGTAGTCAGCGATAGGACGAGAGGAAATGGGCTCAAGCTGCACCAGGGGAGGTTTAGGTTGGATATTAGGAGAAATTTCTTCATGGAAAGGGTGGTCAAGCATTGGAAGAGGCTGCCCAGAGAGGTGGTGGAGTCACCATCCCTGGAGGGGTTCAAAAAACGGGCAGAGGTGGCACTTGGGGACATGGTTTAGTGGGCATGGGGGTGTTGGGTTGATGGTTGGGCTGAGGATCTTAGAGGTCCTTTCCAATCTTAATGATTCCTAGTTTTACTTTCATTAAAAATAATCCAGCCACCAAGCCAGGAAACATGAAATTATTCCTCTCCCCTTAATTGGTTTAGTGGTGGCCTTGGTAGTGTTGGGTTAATGGTTGGACTGGATGATCTTAAAGGTCTTTGCCAACTTAAACGATTCTATGATAACAGAGACATTAAAGAAAAATAATAATTATCAGACCATGAGCCCAAGTGTACCAAAGACCCACAACCTCATCCCAATCCCCTAAGCCCAGACCTGCACGGTTTTCTCACCCTCAGCGAGGCAAGACCTGCGGCAGTCCTGCCGCCTGCCTCCTTCCAGGACACAGCATTCATGCACAGTTCCAGAATGAGAGGGTGCAAGGACTGCTCCAGCTGAAAACTAGCCCAGGAAAAACCACCTCCTGTTCAGGGGACTCAGCTCACCACCCTCGCAGCAAAGGAACGCAGCAGCCCCCAGGTCAGGCTACGCTGCCCGCTGAAGCCAACGTGGAGCTGAACCCTTACGGGCAGCCGGAGGGCTCCAGGAAGAGACCCTTACTGATCAAAGAGCAACCAACATTCGAGATCCAGGATTTGAGACCCACTAATCACATGCAGTGTGGTTTTTCGATAAAGGTTTGTTTTGCAAGGAAGAGGAAAAGGAGAGAATGCAAACGCTCATGGCTGAATGCCTGACCCTTCCCGTCAGGACCACCGCTCCTTCGGTGCGCACAGCAGACCTAAGCGGCCGAGATGCGAGCTAGGTGGGCGAGGTCTGGCATTTAACTTCAAAGTACCTAACATCAACTTAAAAGTCTCCTGAGATTTTAAGCAATTGAGATTTTAAACAGCGCACGTGCACAAAACAGCATTTCTTCCTGAGGGGTCACCACTTGTTTTTCATGAAGACAAGGCCCCACGCTCCATACTTGGGCACGCTCCCTTACTCTTAATGGATGAAACGGTATAACGCAATCCAAAAATGCTCTTTTTTCTACATCTGAACTCCCAACAGAACTTTCATGCTTTCTCATATTACCTGCTTAAGAGCTGGCTGAAGAAATAGATAATTGAGAAATACCTCGCTACACTGCAGGCTAAGCGTAGGCCACGTTTGCAGTAAATGATGCAACTCTTGACTGTAAATAAAATGGCTCTGTTTGCAGGAGCTAGAGAAAATACTTAATAATTTTGCTTTTATTGAGAAAATGTTACATACCAGAAGCAACAGCAGACTAGTCATACTTTAAACATTTCAAAAACTTCTTTCAAAATAGAACACAAAAGGATTTATGAAAACTATTTTGTGACATTCACCTCTGAGTATAGAAAGTGTGTGCTTCCTGAAAATAAAAATCACTTTTACTTAACAGATGTAACTCAGTTCCTTTGCTTGCTGTGTGACACTGGGAAGCACAACAGAATTTGCTACTGAATGAAACACCAAATAGATAGTTCCATCATGATTTTCAAAGATGAAGATGCCAAAAAAATTTTCAGCTGATCTCAAATAATGGGAGTATTCTGCATTTTGAGTCACTAGTCTGCATTTGGAAACATCAGGACTACAAATTTACATTTACACAGAATAGTCTGCATTCTGTATCGTGCGACAATACACATCTCTTTGTTCGCTATCGTCATGCTCAGCCATGAACCAAGATGTCCAAGATCATTGTTTTAGGCCTTGTGAGGGTAATTTTCCCAAAGCTGGAGATGAGCTGAATCTCAATCACCACAGGAACTTACAGTTATGTTCCTTTTTCTAAAATCCACTCTCAGCCAAACAGCAGATGCAGCAGCTGCGCCAAAATCAGCTGCAGTTTCAGCTATATTATTTTACTTCAAGTTCACCATGGGAAGTTTTGAAGAAAATAATAAATTTGCATAATAACCATGCCAGCTCCATTATCTTTTTTTTTTTTTTCCCCGGTGGTAACTAAATTTCTGCCCTTAACATGATCCCATTTCCTCCTTTCAAAGCCTAACCAGCAGCTTGGCCTGCTGGCTTACCATGGCTTGAGCTAATAACTTCTCTAGGATTTGGGGCGGGGGGGAAGGTCTTCAAACTACCCCTGCAGGCAGCCTGGAGGGACATGGCTACCTGTATTTTCTTGAGCTAATGTATTTTCTTGAGCAGCAGATCAGGAAGACACTAAATAGTAAAGCGTGCCTACAAAAATAATTTTAGCACTTGACCAAATAAGAAAGGGAGAACATGGCAACAGTTTCATTAGTACAAACAAGCTGTTGTTTGTGTTATATTAAGAGTCGATTCAGAGACACAAGACAATGAAGCTTGTCTACGAGTATCTGTATATCGTCCTTTGTTCCAGGCTTTCGAGTCAGCTCCCACTGCCTGTCCCTCCTCTGGCTGTATCTACAGCAGCACGACTGGTACAGTCCCCTCAGTGGCATCCCAAGCTGAAGAACCGGCAGATGGAGGTCTGGCCTCCTTCTTACCTTGTTCTCTCTGTGGGTGTTCAGCGACAGGAGCTGGAGATCCTCAACTTGCAAGTACACATACGCCTAGATTTGATACCATGGCTGAGCAGTACTGGATCAGCTATTGCCAAAAACCAGTGTAGAAAGGCATCTTAGAAGAGAGACTGTTTCATGGCTTGAAATTCAATGTATAACCCTGATGCATACAGGACTTTTTAAACCTGAATGTGCTTTTTATATGGAAAAAAACCCCAACTTTTTTTCCTGCAAGAACCCCTGCTCTGCATTCAAAGTATTTGGGAGATACGGATTTCTTCCACAGCCATTGTATGCAAAGGAGGTCACTTGAATATTTATTTAGCTACCCTCAGAGCTGGAGCTCAGTCCTGTCAGCTCCTCCTGGGTCCTTAATGGAAGAGGAGAAGTTGACGGTTGTCAGATGGGATGTCAGATTTTAAGGCTGCTTTGAATGCTGCAGGAACTGTGTGAAGAAAAAGTCTCACCGATCAGACAGATTTTGCAGTGCAACATCTTTGGCTAACAAGGTAAATTTTCAGCTGTCTTTACAACAGAGGCAATCACATATATCACTTGATCACATCAATGTCTGTGTGTATGATCCTAATGAACTTAGACTAGATTTACATACAAAACGTTTCTATAAATGTCATCTTGGAAAAAAAAATTCCTCCTTTAATTGCCCTAACATGCTGCAGGAAGGAAAATGCCACTGAAGTGTCAGCATATAGACAGATGCAAATATAAATCTTAGCTATAGATACCACACCCCACCATCTCCTAAGTTCATGCTCTCGTTTGGCTTTTGTCCATCATTTCTCCTGACGACTTATTGCATGAATCCAGCCACTCACCCTGCCCTCAGCTGCTTCTGTAAGCGACTGGATGAAGCTCTTTTACAGGGGAGAAGATGGGAGCCTCAGATGACTTCCTAATGCTTTAGCTAGTCCAGGAAACACCGCAACAGCAGCTAGCACGGCAATTTGTATTCTTTGCTTCAATTTAATGTTCTGCTCTAAGCACCTAATGCAGTTCACGGGCACTCTGGCACCTCTCAGCAAGAGCTTGAAAACAACGGAGGTTTAAGTGTTTGCAAGCATCTCTTTAGACTTTGCACCTAAGCACCGAAACACTGCTCCACTGTCATTGTGCAGTAGTTGGAAATAAAAAAGCGTGACAGCTAGAGACACTGCTCACTGGTAATAAAACTATTTCTGTTCATTAAGCAGGCAAGTGTTCCCATGAAATACGTGCACACAGCGACAGCCTCACACAGGCCAAAATTTTGGATTGAAACACACAACAGCTCTACATTAAGACTGAAAAAGATCTCAGGGTAGGATAAAGTATTTTAAGTTATGGAAGAAAAAAAAAATCTGTGAAAATTGGGGATATGGATATACTTATGCATGTTGTGACCATCTTCTGCTCTGAAATGCCTCTTTTTGTTCAAATATACGCTTAAAGAGCCACGTAAAACTGGTCAGGAACAATGAGATACAAGAGAGCGGCAGGCACACGGAGGTTAAAGGTAAGAACAACGGCTGGGACGTGAATTGAGCTGGAATGCTTCGTGCTTAATGGTGCTAAACTTGGCATAGCACTTACCTCAGAGACCTTCGAAAAGAGATTTATCTAAGTCCAGGTAGGGCTTCACTGAAAACTGACTCAGCACAAGGAGCGTGCTGAACACCACAGACACTTCATCCGTTCTGTAAATCAGGGCCAAGGCAACAGAGGTGAACTTAGGAAAGGCCCGCGGGACTCGTGCATTCGGTCTGCACTGATCTTTAGCTTGGGCAAAGTAATGATTTGGCCGAGTTAACTACTATCTCAAGATCCGGCGTGTAGCTTGAGTGACTGTGGCAATAGCATAAGGGTGCGGCATGAGTGGAAACGGAGATGTATCCTTCAAAACCAGTAACAAAACCCAATATTTAGAAGACCGTATGCAATTCTCAGGATGCTGCTTTTCAAGTATTTTTGCATCTAGATATTGCAGGCAATATTCCACAAGCAGAGATGCGGAAGTGATCAAAGAACATTCGCTACTCGTTGCCTGGTATGACGCTGTTAAATTGATTTTAACAGCTGGCCACATTATTCCCTGCACTGAATATGCAGAAAGCAATTTCTATTTCATGAAAGGTAGGTTAATCTGATTAATCTTCTCTGCTTTTGTTTTTATTAAAGCACTAAAGGCTCTAATCTCAATAATAAGATATTCCACTGAGTCACCTTAGATCTGTATTACTCCCTAATGATGTGTCATCACTCCTCTTTCAGCTTTTCCCCTTCTTTATTTTGAACTGCCATTCCAGAGAATGTCAGGCCTCCATCCGTTCCCTAGACTCATTGTATCTGGGAATAAAATGGCATTTGTTCACACCAAAGCCTTGCAGAAATGTTCCCAGCTCCGGACAGGGCACTGAGTTCCAACTTGTTCCAGCTCACCCCCACGCACCAAAATACAAACCCTCAGCTCGGCACATGGGTGAGTGTAAATTGCATTAGCTGCATCGATTGTGTCACTGACAGAACCACCACCAAGATTATCTCAGGAAATACCCTAATTCCTGCATCTGCATGATGATGAATACTACATCCTGAGTCACTTTAAAAAAAGGAAGAAACCCTTTAATAGCAAGGGGAAAAAAAATAGCTTTATATTTAAGAAACCAGACTGGTAGAAAACAATGATTTTCATGCTTATAGCAAGGATGCTTTGCAGTCTGTAAACACCCCCTTAATTTTTAAAATATACTTAAGATTTTTAAAAGACCACTTGTCTTCCCCCATTTTGTTCCCTAATGTATTTCTTTCAAAAGAGAAGAAATTCAACTACATTGAATCAGTTTAAATTATGGTAGAAATGGACCACGCATGTAAGACTCATCTCATTCTTATTTTCCAAGAGTTTCCCTTTGGGCTGCAAGTTCTCATGTTAATTTTCAACAACAAATAACGATCTGTGTTGAAGTCTTGATTTACAAAGAGCACTTAAGTCAGAAAAATTTTGTCACAGCTCGCATAATTTAGAAAGTTAGGTTATTTTAAGAAAAAGAGGCAGAACCATTGCCAAAGAAACACAGCGGTACTTTGAGGCTTTAGAAAGAGTTTTGTATTTTGTTTTAAATCACACACGCGCAGCAGCCACCAGGTACGGCAGTGAGTGACACTAAACTGATTAGAAATTAAATGCAAGGACCAGCATCAAAGGAGCTTATAGACTTACGCCTGGTTTTGTCACTTTCTAAGGGGTCGGGCATTTAAACAAGTTAACGCAAAGGTCATTTGAGGTAGCTTAGCCACAAGGTAGAAGCGTGTACAGTAATTTGTTCATGCAGCTGCCCTTTTCTAATATATACCTTAAGGAAACACTTTCTCAAATATTTACCTCTTTGTATTGTAGGCTGTATCTTGTGGTGTTTCTTCAAGCAAGGTTACGTAGCCCAGCGCACACGTGAGGATGAACAAGACTGTTAAGGTATGAGCTCTCCTAAAATTCAGAAGAGAGAAAACTCACATCAGAAAGCAGAAGAACTTGTATCTTCACCTGTCAGTGAAGCCTCAGTAAGCCTAATACATAGGCAGCGGTCAATAATACTGAAGAAGTTTTATGGTTTTTTTTAACTGCACAGCAGTTTACAGTGACACTAAATGCAGCTACCGTCCATCGTGCACTGGCACGCGACAAGCCCACCACGGGACGGGTCTCGCCCATTTTCCCCCCCAGCGCTTTGAGTTAAGGAAGGTTTGGACAAACGCTTGCCAAGTGAACCACAGCTACTTGAAAAAAAATTAGCCCCAACTGTGGTAACACCCAGATCTAAAAGCCTTCAGCTTTCTCTCCTGGTTTGTCAGGTGTGTTTGACGGTGCTGGGCACAGCTCTATTTCAAAGCCTATTAATAAAAACTGCAGCAGACTGAACACTCTTAAGACTGAACGGACAAGAACTCACTCCAGCCATGGGAATTGCACCTTACAAGAAAAACTAGTCATTAAAAACCAACAAAAAAATCCCTGAATGAGAACAGTTGCAATTGTAAGAATCACAGTGCTGCCTCTAGGAGCCGTATTTCCAGTAAGTCTTACAGTTTCATTTCATCTTAGACCTGAAGAGCAGGTACAGACCGTCGGCTAGAGGTCTGCGCCCGCAGAACGACGCGCAGCCACCTCTACGGCAGGCTGCTGCTCAACAACCGTGTCAGCAAAGCTCTGCGGAAAAGCTTGGTTCTTCCACGCTCTTAAAACGTGCAGCCTTGCTGGTGTAATACACCGGCACCGGCAGAACGCTGCCGGTGTACGTGGAGCCACAAGCTCCCCACCCATCAGAGCCCGTTCGCTTGCACTGATTTCGGTGTGAAAAAGCCAAGTGCACGCAGACCGGGGAGCTGAGAAGGGAACTGACTGCTGCTAGTCGATATGCATATGCGTACATCTACTGATTAGGACATATATCGTAGTCTTACATTGCACTGTCTGCATTTCTTTTTTTAATTTAAAGTTGAAAATTCCTTTCCTAATGGGAAGCCATTTATTGTTTTCAGTGGAAAACTTCCCTGACCTCACCTCGGAAGCATGGGAAGTCTGGCCATTTCAGATCAAATCACGAGTTCTGGTTTAGAGGACTACACAACATCTCTTAATACAAATCATTAAAACTACACAGGTATCAAGCTCAGAGAACAGAAAAACTGTGAATGAAAATGACTGTATGTGACAAGTATTTGTACGTACTGGCTCTTTTTATATTATACTGTAACAGAAGCTAGCATTACATTTCCATTTTATGCCAAAAGACCAAAGTTTGTATATATCCAAGTTGTACAGTGCATGATAAACTGGAGACCACCAAGGATTTCTAAGAAGTCCACTGACTTACTTTTAAACAGTACTCTACCTAAAATTGCTCTGAAAGTTAAGGTAAGCATTATTTTGATCTACAATTTCAACCTAATCCAAAACTCCGCCACTTCTCACAGCATCCTTTTAATCCCACTGGAAAACCACATGCAATACCTCATAAGCAGATGCAATCCTCTTCTGCCACTGCTAAAAAGGTGCACGGCATTTAACACTATCTTTCCTTGCAGCCCAGAGGACGCAGACTAACCAGCTCCAGGGGGAGAGAAAAAAAAAAGATAAGGACCCACGAGTATTTTCAAAATTAGCAAGGAATCAACACATCAAAAAAAAAAAAAAAAGGCAAAGGCTTCTCAGCAGCAAGCTTCCTGCTCAGCAGATGCATCTTCCCTTTGACTTGCCTCCCAGGATGCCAAATGACAGGTGATTCAGGCATCATATACTTAACATTCATTTAACAGTCACGTGAGTCGGTGCCTGTTTTGTAACCTACAGTCGTTTAAAAACCTAAATACAGTCCTCTCAAAGGAGGCACTACAGCAGGGGACCGGATTAAATGCTCTAATTCACTTAAATCAGACCACGGTCTTGTTCGCTGCATTTATATATGTATGTAATTAATACAAAAACCAACCTATATTTTGATCGTAGAAAAAGGTTACATTAAGTGCAAAGCTATGCATTATATTTGATGTCTTGTTTTATTGTTTACTTTTTTGAAACTACTAAGAGGCTACTAAAGTAAACCTAGAAATGCCGTCTTCCATCTTAAAATTTCACTGTCTGAACGCCTATATGAAGTCAATTACTTTTTCAATGTGTTGAGTGTGGTGTAAATTGCCAAAACCTCGGTTATTAGCATGTCCTCATTTAGATGAACACATCTAGAAACTCCTCTGCTAGCACAAGGATGGTCTCGTTTCACTCTTCCTTGTGGGGGGTTTATAGCAAAGTAAAGGGTCAGTGTTTGAGAGCTTCATGCGCCCTGCCTTCGGTTTATTTTTGGTGCCACAACCATCAACCCGAAATTCAACAAGCTCCCCTGTTTCAGGAGAAACAAGAGGCTATACACCTCAGCCTTTCCCTTTTAGTTCAGCTTTCATTTCCAGCTGAAGCCAGATTCTCTTGTAGCAAGTCTTCAAGATGATTAGTCATGTAAATGTATTTTCAGTCAGAAATCCAGAAGCCGGGATGAAAGACTTTCTAGATGGTTTGTCTTCCAGAAAGAGCAAGTCGGCAGCTCTAACCAGAAAATTGCAAGTAGTGACTTTGTGGACTTGGTAATGTTGGGTTAATGGTTGGACTTGATGATCTTAAAGGTCTTTTCCAACCTAAACGATTCTATAAAGTGATGGCAGCTGCTAGAGGTAGCAGAGCATCATGCAAACCTACCTGTCAAAGGGGGGGGGGAGGCAAGCAAACATAGATACACACCGTATCTTTCCACGGCTGGAGAGTTAAAAAAATAAAATAGAAACCCAGAGTCATATGGAACAAGACAAAATGTGAAGCAGTTACACTAGCCAGAAAAATGCATCACATACAGAAGTATGTGTGTGAGCGAAGTCAGGATGAATTAAACTGCATAAAAAGGGATTATTTCCGTCTCCACGTACACTTTAAAATAATACAGCAAGAGGAAGACAACACAGCTAAGAACATCCCCAGCAAGGTAAGCACTACAGGAATTATGCAGAAAGGCTTATGTTCTCCTCGCCCGGAGTCTGCGGAGACTGGGAAGAGCTAAGCTAAGCAGACCAGCTGTCTTCCCCTTGGAATTACACAGGAGTTTGGGCAACACAGCAGAAGCAAGGGGGGTCCAGCCTATAGCCAGTTCTAGGAGGTTTTATGTCAAAAAGTCTGACAAAGCAGTGCCTAAAAGTATATGTATACAAAAATATGTAAGGCCAGGAAGGTCAAAGAGAATTCACAACAAATCCTAAACTGCTAAAAAGCTGGAACATTAAGTAGCTTATTTTTCTGCACTAGCATTCTTCTATCTTACATCTGGCTCTTTCCCCATTTAAACACCGGGGCATGTAAGTGAAATAATTCAAGTTTTGTTTTTATAAAAATACTCGCCCTGCTAACTTCCTTAAGCACCACGGGAGAGCAACGCAGGCAGCATCAGCCACTGCTCCCCTCCCGCGCCGCAGCTCACAAAGAAGCGGGGGCTCTTCCAGTGAACGGGATCAAGTTCAGTCCTAACTTCTCTTTTTCACGGTAATTCATTCTTCCGTCACATTTAGAAACTGTAGGTTTTTCAAGGAAATCACCATCAGAGCTTTTATTTCCCAAACAAAGGATATGACAAAAATTACCGCGGGAAATTTTTGAAGTATCTCTTTTTTTGGGGGGAGATTCGGACAGATCAGCTCCCTGGACAGAAAGGAGGGAGTGAGACCCCGGCAGAGCGGGCGGCTGATGACCGCATTCCCTCTCCAGCACAAACTAAAAATCAGCTTAAGTGAATGGGACCACACCCTCATTATCCACTGCTTTGCATTAGTGTTCTGTTTGTCATAAACGATGCAGTAACTACATTAAAAACAATAACAATCGTTGAGAACACCAGGCAAAGGATTTATTTATTAATCTTCTTGCCAGTTCTCTAAGTGAAACAAAATTCCAAAGAACAGCCAGTACAGTTTGCCTCTTTGGTTTAAAAAGTTGCATTAATGGCTACTGCTAGAGAAGGAATCTGTCAACAAAACCAACTAGTCCTATCTTAGCCCATCATCAACTTTTTCACAGAGAAATAATTTTTTTTCTAGATTCCAAATAATGGTAAAGTCATAAAAGCATTCCTGAAAGAGATTTTAGAAAGAGGAACGAATGTCAAAGCTCTCTACCCTCCATGTACCAACACATCATCCGTCACACGCTGGGAATTCCAAGAAAATATGACAAATAGACAGTACAACCAATCTATTACTTCAACAGCAGCACAGTGTTTAAGTTATTGTGAAGAGTAAGATACAGGAAAATGTAACAAAAATCATAACAATTTAAAACTGACCAATATTTTGACATGCAACACCAGAATTATCATTAACAGGGAAACAATCCTGTTTGGATACAGAGAGGTTTTTGAAGCCTTCAACAAAAATTCAACCTTGGTCATAATCTTGATAATATCCAAAATTAGAGACATGAAACCGAGAGGTTCGTGATGCACAGGGCCCAAGCAAGCAGTCAGGCCTCAACATTTCAAAAATAAGAGTGAACTGCTCGTTTGTGCCCCAAGATCTGCCTCGTCCACCTCGATCACAGCACAATAACCAGTGGCAACCAAACCAAAGCCTGTGCCTTGTACGTGACGCTGCCTGAAAGCTCCAAGCATCTACAGCTGTAACGCAACAGAAACGCGGCTGCTGCTTTTAGGCTGTAGGCTGCGATTTAAAGTCTGTTTAACCTCTGAGAGGTAATAAAAAAGTACCTATTCTTAGGCCAGCAACAAGTCTTCAGCACATCTATAAAGGTACACAATGCTGATTGAATTTCTGTACGTACTTGTGACGCTCCAAAATAGTAACGTTCCTTTTCCTTGCCTGAAGTTGGTGCCTCTCGTAAAACGATCACTGGGTAAGAGAAGTACAGTAACACGTGCCTCCGCAGGGAAATACCTCCATAGGGAAGCCAGAACAATGGATTAAAAAGCAAAGCTTCAGCAAATTAGTCGTTTTCCTCTGAATGAGAGAGAAGACAAAGTTTCCATTCATCAGTTCTAGAGTGTTCACAAGTTAATCAGAGTTCCCAAAGTGATCTATTTCAAATATTAAACATTTTTACGTGTTTAAACCTGTTTAAATTGTTTAAATCGTTTTCGTTTAAAACGATTCCACCGAGACAGCGTGACTTTGCATTACAGGTAACACCCAATTTAAGCAGGTCTTTTAAAAAAATGCCAATAAACGGGAACGGGAGGAAGGTGCCCTTACATCAGGTTTAAGCGCATAAAAGCACGGAGCTAATTTTTCGGGCTGATGATTCGTTTTGTAAACGGCTGTAGAATTCGGGTCCTGCGAGAGCGCTGCGACGAGCCGGGGTTCAGACAGCAGCATGGACGAGGCTCCGCAGAGCGCTCCCGACGCCGGCGCGTTAAACTCTCGCAAGGTCTCTGCACAAAGACATTTCTCCCAGCTTACCTGCAGGAACCGTGCAAGCCCTTCCTTTCAGGAAAGCGTAATGGCATTCTAGTAATCTAGTAAAAAATAAAAAAAAAAATAAATTCTAGATTCTCAGGAGACAGCCACCCTCATCTGCGACAAGAGTTAACTGACCCAGCCGACCGAGACTTGGATTGCACAGCTACCGCCGGGTGCTCTGGCAACGGGACCCTGCCAGGGCATTACCTAAAGGCTAAAAAAGCGCCGGCTGAGTGACGCGGGGCAGCCTGCTGCAAGACGGCTCTGCTTGAGTCCAGCAGCGTGCCTAAGCGCGGTCAGTTCTGAGCAGGCAGAGAATCAGAAGAGTGGTCAGCAAGTACAGAACCTCACCATCGCCCGCTTTAAAGCGGCAAGCTTTTCTAGTATTAAAAAAAAAAAAAAAAATCCAGCAAATGCTAAGTTTCCAACAAGCTTGAGGAACGCTGCCTTGGAAGTGCTGCAGGCAGCCCTCGCCAGAGGGTACAGGACACAGTTCCTGCCAACTCGCAGATCTCCTGTCTCCCTCTTCTCTTTCAACAGATCATCATCTCTTCCTCCAGACAGCCTTTTAGAAAATCTCATGCTGCCGTAGGGTTATTTTTTTAGAGATAAGAACAACATGCAAGGCATGGCTAAGTAATACTTTGTTTTGAATACCAACCCTGTATTTCCAAAAATGGCTGGTTTGCACACACGCACCCTCGCTTCCAAAGAAACGTCCCTGTGCTGGCCATCAGGAGCGATTCTCGCAATACCGCGCGAAACAAGAGAAACATCCAGGCAGAGGCATCTGCAGCCTACCTTCCCCTTAGCTCCAGTTTCTACGCTTTTTGCACCAAACAGGCTGAATTAATTCCTACGAAAGCTGTATCAGTATCAGCCCACAGAGTCTTTTACCTACCACTTCCCTCTTTTTTTTTTGTTTTCTTTTTCCTTTTTAAACTTCCTGAGCTCCACAGATACCTGCTGCCACGCTATGACCTGAGTAACCAACATTATATCCACATGATGGCAATACAGAATTATTTCGTGTGAGAGACAAACACACATGAATAACCAACAGAGGACATTAAAGCTAAATAAATTCAAATTAAAGTAAGGATTAGCAGAAGCAACTAACCCATAGAATCACAACGTAACGTGGTGGCAAAGATGTATCTGGCACCTCCCAACATCTTCAAATCAAGACTGGAAGCCTTCCTGGAAGACGTGCTTTGGTTAAGTGCAAGCTATGAAATATACACAGGAATCAGGGGTAATGCGGGAATTTTAGGAGCAAATCATACACAGTATGGAACTAGATGAGCCCAAGCTGGCGTGAAACGACTCGACACCACACCGCCTTCCGCTGCCTTGCACGGGCAGGGGAGGAACGTTTCCTCTTCCCTTCAAAAAAGTCGCTGCGCACCTCGACGTTCATCACATAGTGCAGATAAATCAACTGCACTATTTCACTGAGCCGTTTTGCCCCCCCACGGAAAGACTCCCAGCTCCTCTTTTTCCAGCTTCAAGTACCTTCAGGCATCTGTCACGGTTACTGCTCACCGGTAACAAAGCCCTGGCTTCTACCGGATTCACCTTTTCCCATACAAAGTCCCAGTAGCAAAACCACGCAAGACGCATCAGCACTCGCTCTTCCACAGGTGACAGAAACGAAGCCACAGAGATGCTGTAGAAAGGTCTATCTGGGGATATTTAAAAAAAAACCCAAAGCAACCTGGTGGTTTTTCCATGCTAGCTCAGTAAAAATATCAGATCGACCGTGCTTCGCGCTGTACAAAAAATAAAAGTCAAAAATCTCAGCCACAAAGAGGTCCTTTGTTTGCATTCAGAAAGCTAATTCTGCAAGCAGACGGGCAAGAAACAATCAAAGGTGCTGGAGACAACAGCGAGCGTGTTTGCCTGGACCAGCGGCTTGCCAGGCAGGCCTGACAATTTCCAGCTCTCTGCTAGTAGTGATAGGTGTTTTGAAACGAGTTCAGGCTCAGAGGTACGGAGACTGCCAACCTGTTTCATAAAGCTTCCTCCCGTTTCCTTCCCTCGACGTTTCCCAACGACAAGAGCAGCTGTCAAGGCACTGACTGGGCAGGTTCCAACAGCGGCACTAAAATACTGCATTCCAGTTTCAAGCTATTAAGACTGAATAAGAACAGGGGTGTTAAACGGCACGTAACTTGTTTTTCAAAGTTTCAAAAAGATCTAAAAAGAGCAGGCAGATAGCTGGAAAGTGCCCCCTTTCCCAAGCAACACATTTACAGCAGTAAAATCACCTCTGCAAATTGAACTACTTTACTTCCAGAATGACTTCTGACTGTGCCTACAAGTCCCAAATCCTTGGATTTTTCCAAACCGAGCAGGCCTTGTGGGGAACCTTACCCAGTAGCTTCTGAACTGCAAGGAGAAAAGGTACTCTCCATACTTTTCCACGTGGGCAAGGACAGAGGGCACCTACTCTCAAATTTCCATTTGCCGCGGCCACCTCCATAGCACGCAGTGCAAGAACAGTACCAAGGGTCACAGGAAGAAAAATCATTCCTCCGTATAATCTTTACTGTCGGCCACTGTAAGAACTGAGTCATTACCAAAGGGTACGCTAACGCGATCAACGCTGCCGTGCACAGGTCAAAAGTAACAGCAGGAAAACCTTGAAACTTTTACAAGCGTTTAAACTCCTGGCTGCCAGCGCAAGCGACACACTACTAGGGAAAATAAAGTAAGATAAATGAGTTAGGAAACAATTCAGCAAGGCGCTTGCCCGCGCTGCCCTCCTGGAAGGGACAGCCGACAGAGGGGAAGCTCCTGAAAGAGCAGTGCATGGTCGGACTTTCAGAAGAGCAACTCACGTGGCCAAATCAACCGCAGTTACAGCCTTTATTTCAGGATGGCGATCCTGCACCAGCGGCAGACGGCACGCTGGCCCCATGCCCCCACAGCAGCAAAGAGGTGCTGCAAGGTGAGATTATACGATAAAAACGGCGTTAGGCGTTTCTACGGCGGGACAAAACACCTGGCAAGAGCCACCTTAACCAGACGGTAAGAAGATGAGAGTTTTACCCATTTTCCATTTATAAGATGGCACTACTCCGCAGAGCTCGGCGGGATCCGGCTATTCAATCGCTCGCTCAGCCCACACGCGGCAACGCCGGCGCGCTCTCCAAGAAAGTTCCTCTCGCCCTCAAGACGACGACGTCCCTCGGCTACGCTTGCGTGCGTCGGGCTTCTGCAGAGCCCCCCCCCTGCGATCCAGCAGCATCTAAGCGCCCTTTTGCAGCTCGCGCTGGCAGAAATATCACCTAGAATCAACGGCTTCCTCGAGACCAACACCCCCCGCTCCACCGCTGCCCAGATTGGCAGGGCGAGAGCCAAGCGCCCTCCCCCTTCTGCTCCTTAATGTCAAATTCGAGCCAAATCATGTCACCCCCGGCTCGTATTCCAAACGAGGGACCGGACTGCCAGCTCGGCTTCCTTAATCAAGGAGGACGCGCGTTTAACACACGCAGGAAAACGACGGACGTACGCACGCATGTGCTGAAGCGGATTTCTGAACGAGGGGCTTCAGAAGCACCGTTCTAGGTACAAACGCATCTCCTCCTGTGAGGACTGAATTTAGCAAAAACTGACTTGCCCCGCCTGGCCTAACGCAGCATGTCACGGTTTTGCACGCCGATTTTCTGGACCAAACACGCCACAAAACCATACGAAATACCTGACCCGCGGAACTTCAGCATGACAGCTTTAGCTTTCTAGCAGGATTACGGGAAACAACACGGACAGAAAAGCCCTCTCCCAAGGCTGTGGGGAGGGGGAAGAAATAGGTGGAGTTCATGCAACCAATGCGGATAAAACAACCGGAATCAGGCATTCAAGTTTGCCCACAGACTGTGGGCTCCCGAAGCGCCAGCGCACACCTCCCAGGTGCCGCCCGGGTTAGCAGTGAGGATACTTTATGACCAGGGCTGAGAAAGGAGGTGCCGCTGCCAAAAGGCAGTCCTAAATCACCATTAAATTGGCCCGAAACAATAATTCATAGCACCGCGACACCGGGAAAGCCATCTTTAGACACAGCCGACCCTTCCTCAGTTTTAGCACCGGTATCTGTTGCGGTAAAGCAAGAGCAACGTAAATTGCAGACGACAAGCCGTAACTTTTCATCTTTCCTCCCGGACTCCCAAGCCCGATAACCCACGGCCTTCGCGACTCCACACTCCCGCAGAGCCACGCCACGGCGCTGGCAGGCAGCGCGGCTCCTCGAAAGCGACGGAGGAATCAAAGGAACTAAAGGCTGCTGCGGGCAGAGCCCCGCAGAGCGGGGAGCGAGCGGGGGAGCTGCGGGGGACCGGGGCCCCCAGCCCGGTGCGGGGAGCGAGCG